GGCACCTGCATGCAAAAATACATGACCGGCCGCTCCTCATCGCTATCACAGACCCTCGAAACATGTGACGAGAATATCAAGCTGGAGAACTGTGATAAAGGGCAGCTTCAGGCGCAGGTGAAAGCTTACACAATGTCCCAAGCTTGCAAGGTCATGGATGTTGCGACGTCGGTCAGCTCGTGCAACAAACACCAGTGCAATCTGAAGAAGTTTTTCACAAAAGGGAAGCACATTAAGCACTGCGAGGAAGCAACTGCCCAAAGCACAGTTTCTTCTTCTACCATTGTTTCATGGATGCAAGAAAAGACGGGAACGTCCACTTGTCATAGCTTGCGCAGAAAAGAATGTGAGTTCATGGAATTTGGTCTCGCTGCCTGGGACATCTGCACGGTTGGCAACTTGTGGTCGAGAGTCTTTGTCCGGCTGTGATGCTCGTTGAGCTTGGCCGCAACAGCCGATGCCAGCCGGCAGGTGGAATACATGCATGGACCTCGATGCAAGCTTTTTCTATGAAATCGCGGGAGACGTCGGCTGCTGCAATTTGCAAGAAGACGTGTCGCTTCAAGTTCGCCAATTGCACAGACCACATTATGTTCTCTATCTAGATTTGCCTGGTGCACCCAGTCTGATGCCCTGGTCCGTGATGAAGCGTTCCTGGCTCCAACACTTGATCGACATGAAGCCGATGACATTTCAGATGCTTTCATGTAGATGATACGGAGATGCTAGGCGAGGTATCCAGTGGAGGGCGCCGTGGCAGAACTCGTTGAGACTGGATTCAAGATGTCGCAAGGCATTGCAGTTGCCAGACCAGTCGCAGCTGGCAGGGTAACCGAGGCAACCCAACATTGAATGGGATGCCGTAGGCACCAAGCGGAGCATGTTTCCCAGGCACAAGCAGAAACATTCAAGTCAAGTCCGACCCGAGTCGCGCCCCTCACTGAATCCATTCGCGGCGAGAAGTGTGGTTGGCGCTGGAAGGTAGAGTCCTCCACTTTTTTTAATGCAGTGTCGCGAGTTGAGCACCTGCCCTGTTGCTGCCTTTCATGGCCGCGGATGTCGTCGACTGCGGGCCGCCCTTGCGCAATGAGATCTCCAGGTGCACAGTCCGGGTTGGGCAGGTCAGAGTCTCCGGCAAACTTCGGATGGTACCGGCCGTTGGAACAAGATCACCAGTGTCACGCTCTGCAGCATCGTTCTTGTTCTGCGAACAAGAGTGGCTGACGTATGCTGACGTGATTTTTCGGGCTTCCCGTGTCGCCTCCAGTCATCCAGTCTTCAACAGGCTGGCTGTAGCCTGAGAATCGGATCCCAAATGCGGCAGAAATCCTGTCCCTCAGCACGGCGACAGTGGCTGCTTCATTTGCAGCTGCAGCCAATCGGTGGGCGACCGCGATAGCGCTCACAGGCATGTGCCGTTGCTTTGATGTTTGTGTGCTGTTGTTGCGCATTGTTGCACGGATTCGCTATTTGGTTGCATGTCGGAATAGCGCACAGATGAGGGTGGAAGTCATGTGTTTAGTTGGGAGCACGGATTCTGTCCGCTGTTCCTGAAAAGCCAAATCCTGATCAACAAATACACCCAGGAAGCTCAAGGCTTGGCGAGGATTCTCATAAAGGCTTGGCGGTGGCGACGGCAGCTTGGCAAGAGCTGGGAACTTTATCCTGGCATGCACCGAGTGGCACAGGAAGTGCCTGCGACTCTTCCTGGATGTAGATGGGCACATTGACAGGACTTGCAGAGCAGTCTCGCATCGGTGGTGGACCACTTTGCCGGTTTTTTCGAATCTCAATGTACAGAAATCCCAGAAGTGCTGAGCCGAGGACCTTCCCTATGCCGAATTGCAAGCCCTCGTGGCCCGAGTCGCAGTCCATCTCGCGGTAGTGATGGAAGGCGACGTGTAGGTCTGACTTCCGGTTGGAGCTTGGATGCCACTTTTTATCAGAGTGTTGTTGCTCTTGTCGACGAAACTTTCGGCGAGTGTCGTTGCATGCGGTGCTGTCGTGAGTGCGCGACTACCCTGAGGAGTTCACTGTGACCGGAAGGAAGTGATGGCGACTCGCAGCAACGATCACACCGATTGGATCGCCAAAGCAGGGTTTCGAGCAAAGGTTTTGTGTTGATACCCCCAATGTTAATGTCGGCGAAATTCAATGACTGACAGAGTGTGTTCCTTGAGGGTTGCAGTGAGGTTTGCAGTCCTGGCATGTGTATATGGACGGCGTACTTCTAGATGCGACACAGTCTGAAGTCACTTCTAGAGACGGTCAGGTCGAATACGTATGTAGGAATTCCAGGCTAGACCGGTAAGCGTGGATTCGGGCAAGTCGTTGCTTCTCGCATTGATCCGCCTTTGGCGACGTTTCGCTTTGGTGCCGAGGTCGCCCTCTTCGTGGATGAGGCGGCTCCACTCGTGATCGCCATGCTGGCAGCACCTTCGGATGAAAGTCCACACTTTTTGCCTTCCTAAACCCCTACACTCCTAAACCCAAGAATTGGTGGGGCCCTCTCCCAGTCATGGAGCAAATCTGGGAAGGAAGCCTTGAACGCCACAGAGGAGCTTGAAGTTAGAGATTCACTATCTGCAGTGGTTATTTGCTGGCAAGTTTGTTTTCGTAGAAGAGGAGATGAAAGAGTGATGTCACTGCTGATGGCAAAAATCCTGCGCTGCTTAAGCACCATAGGCTATTGGAGTTGTCATGTACTGCCGGCGATGGATGTTGGAGGAGTTGGCCCATCAGCACAAGCGCGTGTGCTCGTACGCGACAGCATGATGAAACTCGATGAAGCCCAATGAAGCTTTACTCAACCACACCCTGCAAACAATTCCCTATGGGTGGTTGTCAAAATTAGGGTCCCTTTTTGGGTAACCTAAAAATAAGGTGCCGTATGATAATCATGAGCCAAAAAGGGACCCTAATTTTGACAAGCACCCCTATAAAAACCTTTGAAGCCTTGTGCGACCTTGTTCTGAAACCTTCTGGGACATGAACCCGAAGCCCTGAGCCCTAAAAAGCTCCTACACCCTGAGAGCCTTAAGGCTTTCTTTAGAGGGGGCTTCTTTATAGGACACCTTTCTGTAAAACGGGCCCAGATCCTCTGGGCGGGGCTCTGCTTCGTGCCGGTGGATCTGGCAGCCTGGCCGCGCGACCGCTGCGGCTACGCGCGGAGCTCAGGGCCCGGGTTTCTGTTGTTGGGGCTCCTTTTGAGCATATGGGAGTTTTTTGAAATTAGGGGTACCTTGTTTTGGGGTCCTTGTAATGAGGATCCTACTATTGAGGGTACTATATTGGGGTCCCCTATTTTCGGAAACTCCCATATCGCCGGAAATAGCTTCGGAAACCACTGCTGCACAGAGAGGCATGATGGGAGGTAACACAGCACAACCTCACTTGGGTGGTTGTCAAAATTATGGTCCCTTTCTGGGTAAAATATTAGGTGCCGTATTATAATAAGGACCCAAAAAGGGACCCTAATTTTGACAACCACCCACTTGCAGGATGGCCCTTTTTGGGAGCTGCGGGTCGGAGCGGAGATTCCTTCTTTTTGGAGGTTGCTTAAGTCGCTGATGAGTATCAGAGATAGAGGCCTGGACCAAACCCCAGCTCCCAAACCTCAAGCCCCCACCCTCAAACACCCTGGAAACCAAGCCCTCACAGTGATCCTAAATCCCAAGCCGTAAACTCTCCGCCCTTGGACCGACGCCCACGCGGCTTCTCAGGTTCTTGAGACTTGCGGAGTGGGTCTGGCACTGGCTTCGGAGGCTTCTGGACTTCTTGGAGATATGAAAGGTCTTCTTTCTGTCTTTCTTTTCATAGAACTTACAACTGTTGCTGCTTAAGGTGAGAATCGTTAGTGAGTGATTTTCGTCTTGGTGCCACTGGCAGTGTCCATATTGTAACACCTACCATTTGATCCGCTCTCGCTATCGCTGGTCTGATTACGTTTGCTGACAGTCGTGTTTTTTCCTGATAATCATACCACTTTATTAATATCACTGCGGCAAATACCACAATGTCACATCAAGCTTCAAGTCGCTTTGGGGAGGACAAGACCACTTCCACTTTTCGTGACAGGTCGTTCCGGTTTTGCTTGGGTGTTGTGGTGCATTCTGTTCTGCACAGCTATCCGAAACGTGCATCGCCTCGGCCTTTTGCAGGCTCATCGCGAGGCCGCCACGACACTTCTGCGTGCGGTTCAAGGAGAGCCGCTCTATGTGTGCTCTCACTTTCAATTGAGCCGTACTCCGACTCAGCTTAGAATCCCAGGATGGTGCAAGCCAAAGTTCAGCAGCTTGTGCGGATGTGAACGGAGCACCAACTCGTGCTAGACGGTCCGAAGTGTCATGTTTTTTTGATACGGAAGGCTGTGCCCTTGTGACGCTGGAAGAAGCCCTCGCGACATCCCGCCGCTGGCTCGGTCATGTGGCGTCGCCTCAAGATATTGAGTTGCAGCCACCGTGCCATGTGCAGATATCATGAATCGGCTTGTTCGGTTGTTCTAATATGGCAGAAACCGCCTGAATGCTGTGGCGACAGCCCACGCTTGTGTCAAATGGCTGGAGACGAGGATCGGGAGCCAGGTAAATGTTGGGTTTGTTTGTGTGATCTAATCTAATTGTGAACGCTTGTTTGAGTTTTTCTCGCACATGTCGAGAGGCTAGCAGTTCAAGTTCGCAGCAGCTTACTGAGGTGTTGAGATTGGCGAACCACTGCTCCAAGCGCCTGCAGACGCAGCATCGGAGGAGCCGCTTGCAAGCAGCAGCTTCGTAGGTTTTTCCCTCCGCAGGCCGTTCACTCGGTGCGATGTGCGGCTACCGGAACAAGTTTGAAGCATTTAAAGCCACCCGTTGGTGCTCGCACATTCTCGCCGACCATAACAGGGCCTCAAGGCTTCACTAAGGCAAACGTCGAGCCTCCAGGGATTGATGTTCTGTGGCATTTCCGAGCATACGTCACGAGTTGATTAGGTTCGGGATTTTGCAATGCTATCTGAAACGATGGGCATGCTGAGCAACGCGGGAGGACCTGGCCTATGCGATCTTCACTTCCGGCTCAACAGGTGGCTTGCCTGCGAGCGGTCAAAATCCCGAGTGAGTGCTTAGCCTCGAACCCCCGCAGGCCTTCAGTTAGTGCCCTTTCCAGTGCATACCTAAAACTTCTATTAGTCTGGGGCCCTCTGTTGCGAGTCTTTGCCTTTTTGCTCGAGTGCTAAGGGCGGCCCAAGTGCGTTCTCTGCGAGTCGGCCCGGCTGCATTTGCGTGGGGGAAGGGACTTGCAGAAGAACGGCATTTACGGCTCTATCGGGGTTTAGGGTTTAGGGCAGTTCAGGGTTCAGGGTTCAGTGGCTTCAAGTTTCACTGGGCTCTGGGCAGGAGGCCACGTCCCTTCCTCCTCTTGTCCGCACCTAGGAGATCCCGGCCAGCGAGGTAAGTCGCCTCCACGTGGACCCCTAGCTCATAGCCGATAGCCAGAAGCCCCATCACAATCGGGTTGCTTCCATCGTACGGCATGGTACCCTAAATCCAGTCTAAGCCCCAGAAGACCCTGAACCTTAAACCGCATCAGCTCCATCTCCGGGGCAAACAGGCACGGCGCGGCTTTGGCTTATGCCTGGGCCAAGGCCGAAGTGGAGGAGCTCGGGCCAGGCGCCGACGAGGGAGCCCCCCGAGCCTCGCCGTATCGTCTCGTCTCTTCGGGGGTGTCGGTTTCGGCTTGGGGTAAAGGGGGGACTCCTGGGGGTGTATACCCTTAAGATAGCCATGATATATAGCCCCTTAAAAAAAGCCCATTAGAGGGTGTAGGGGGGGGGGGGGGTCCCCTTAAAAAGGGTCCATGCTCGCTCGCAGCGCAGGCAGCCGCCAGCTCCTGGGATCCCACTTCACCTTCGACCCGGCCCAAGGCTGCGCCCTGGGTTTATCCCACGGCCCCACTCCCACCACGGGGGCCGCCGCGTTGCAGAGGTGACGTTTTTGGAGCCTTGACTTTGGGTGCCACGCTTGTGGCGCTGCCCCGCTCGTGCCCTGGCAGAGAGAGAGAGGAGGAGAGGGGGGCGGAGGTTCAAACAAACTGGGACCTGCCCCGGCGGGGGCCTTGGCGGGCGGTCGCGACCGCCCTCGCTTTTGCAACTGAGGACGGTCTTGGGTGCCCTGCAGGATGCCCTCAGCAGCCACTCGGTCTGACATCAGTTCGCTTAATTTTTCTATCACTCCGGCCTTGCCCCGAGGCTTGGATGTCAGTCATGCCACGATGACGCCTACACAGTGGTCGCTGAAGGCAGTAGTACAGTCCGTTTAGTCGACAGCAGATGACCTCCAATGAGAACCCCAGAACCCCAGAACCCTCAAACCTCAAGAGGGCACCCTAAACCCCAAACCCTAAGCTCTATAACCCCTAAATCCTAGCCCTAAACCCTAAATCCTAACCCAAAAACCCCAAACCCTAAACTCACAAACCCCAAACCCCAAATCCGATGATCTTTGGAGGCTCCCGGCCCGCTGCCAAAGTTGCAGCATCTGCTCCCTGGTTTCGTTTTGCTTTGAAAGGGCTGTTGATTCGTCGATTATGTACAGTATACAAAGTATATATACACATACTGTATATATATATATATACATATATATATATATATATATATATAGTATACATACATATATATATATATATATATATATACATATATATATATATACACATATAGATATGTATATATATATATAGAGTATTTATAGTGTTTATAGTATATATATATATATATATATATGCTCACCCCCCCCCCCCCATGACAGACCATCCCCTTCAAGACATCGCTCCCACCGGCGTGTTCGTGCTTTTTCCGGGGTATCGAGTTTGAGCCCTCCGAACGTATCTGTGGAACCACCAAAAGACTGAGACCCGTTGACAGACCATGCCCTTTCAACTCAGTCGTAGCGCATGGTCTGTGATCGGGGGGAGGTGGCACTCAGCTTTCAAAAACTCAATTCCAAAATTTACAAAATTCTCTCCCCTAACTTTCCGGATTTCCAAAATTTCCAAAATTTCCAAAATTTCCAAAAATTCCAAAATTTCCAAAAAGTCCGCCCTTATGTTTTGGAAAAATCCTGTCGGCTAGGTCGGGCCGTTTTGGAAATTTTGGAACTTTCGGAAATTTTGGAAATTTCGGAAATTTTGGAAATTTTGGAAATTTTGGAAATTTTGGAATTTTTGGAAATTTTTGGAAATTTTGGAAATCCGGAAAGTTAAGGGAGAGAATTTTGGAAATTTTGGAAATTTCGGAAATTTCGGAAATTTCGGAGATTTCGGAGATTTTGGAAATTTTGGAAATTTTGGAACTTCTGGAATTGATTTTCAATGGGCTGATTGTGACCCATCGGATGACAGACCATGCACTACGACTCACTTGCAAAGGCAAGGTCTGTTTAGACGATTGTCAGTGTTTATCTATTTTTCTAAATTGGTACTCCTACGAATACTAGTACCAATACTCATTCTGACATTGATCATTTGCTGACTGCCCAAGCTAATACCAGCATTAACACTAATATTTACACTTTTTAAGCCAATACGAATAGGCACCATACAAATAACAAATACTAATAATGATTAATACTGACGTTCATACTCCTACGCATATCAATAATTATGCCCATATTGGTAGTAGTGTATTTTAATTCCAATACTAATACACACCTGCATATACCAATGTACATAAATATACATACCACTATATTAAAGTACAAATACATTAGCTCATGCATGTATTTATCTGTTAGTATTTTCATGTAATCAGGAGTAATACTAATATAAGACAAACGTTGATGCGAATACATAACCTCATTTTGATATTAGCACTCGCACTAGCACTATTACTAATACCAATCACACTGTTTATACCAACACCAAGATTTACATAAGTATTGATACTCCTACGGATACTACTGCGTATACTCTTATGCTGTTAACAGTAATGCTGTCACCAATACTAATACTGACATTGATAACTTGCTGAATATTCAAGATAATGCCAGTATTAATACCAATATTAACACTTATACTAAGGCTAATGCGACTATGGATAATCCAATACGAATATTAACATGAATGCTCCTACGAATACCAATAGTCATATTCATTTTGATGTGAAGACTAATACCATTACAAAAGACACGTGCATATGCTAATGCACACCAGAACACATACCATTAACTTAAAATGCCGATATGTATCAATGCATTCATGTACTGATGTTTTAGGACAAGCATATACCCATATACCAATGTAACAATACAGTACTTAATGTGTGAATATACTATACTAGTATGCTATTATACTAATATGCTACTATACTAGTATGCGACTACTGTAATATGCAAGTATACCGACGTGGCAGGTTAGTGTACTAATATGACAACATACTGATACACTTATAAATCTTTAGACAATACACGTATATTGCATATACTAGTATACTCATACACTAATGTACGAATATACTGGTATGTTAATATACTAATATATTAATACAGCAATATACTAGTTTACTCATGCATCAGTTGTACTGAAGTATTAAATTTACGAATATGCAAGTATACAAATATGTTGCCTCTCGAACACATCAATGTGTTGATATACTAACCTGCTGGTCTACGAAACTATCAGAATAGTAACATATCGAAACTAACTGTAATTTTGATACCAATACTAGCACCTCTGCCATTATTAATTGATATTAAACCCAGCATGAAGACTGATACTAATACTAGCAGTGGTACTATTACTGGCATTGACACTGGCATTAACACTAAGACTAAAACGAAGATGAGCACTAACATTAATGTATACTTACTACTGTCGATATATGCATATATATACACATACTTACAATAAACACTAATAATATTGCTGATACTATTACTAATACCAATATTAATACTCATACTCATCCTATATCAATGCTACCACAAAACTTATAACTCACGTGTCGCGCATCTGGTCCATGCGTCCTCAGTACATGGCATGTTAAAAGTATACTTGGTATATGTACTATAAAGGATTTGCTTTACAGATTGTCGTCATGTGTGGTGTGTGTAGATGCAATATCTCAGCCTAGTCACCGAACGAGAGTACACTATCACAAGGGCATGGTCTGTCAACGGGGGGGGTGAGCATATATATATATATATATATATATATGCATCTTGTCAGGGGGGTTTGGAAAAGGCCTCATATGTAAGAGCTTCCACCGGCGTTTAAGGTCTAGAGCAGGGCCCCGCCCCCTGTGTTCTCGATACCCTCTCACAAATCTTTGCATCAAATCCGATGTTCACCGAGACAGCTACGTTTTGTCTTGTGATGTCAAGACTTGCTTCTGATCCAGAATCTGAGGACGCTGTGCGGGGAAACAATGCGCGCGGATCCTTTGCCGTGAAACTTTTCTCCAGAGCTCCCAGGCTCTGTAACGCTCAGCGCCGTCGACATCCCTAACCCTTTCGCACAAGGGGCCTCCCCGCTTTTCGCAAGTGTAGACTGAACAGCGGGCTGGTCTGCAGGCACCTCGAGTTCTCAAGCAACATGTTGCCCTCAACCTTGGTTTTCAGCTGATTCCATGCAGCAGTAAGGAGACGATCGATACTTGGTCCTCGCTGCTGGCGCTGCGCAACATGTATGGCGTAGCTCAGACTGCAGGACGCAGCTTTTCAACCCGATGCCCACCTCCGTCGTCCCAGGGACAGGGCTTCAGTCTACAGTGCACAGAATGCTGTGCTCGTCATTGAATGTCACGTGGGGACAAAGACGAAGAGCTTGCCGAGTTGTCATTTGTCGCCCAGGTTACGGAGGCGACCGGCTTGCAGACCGCACATCGCACGACCGTCGGGGACTCGCCGCACCCCGGAAGCAGATCCCACCTTCCTCCTCTTCCTCCTCTTCCTCCTCTACAAGACGTCTTCCCATGTGCTACAGCCCACCTCTGCCGCTACCAGCCGCCACCACCACTGCCGCTACCACCACAGCAGTACCAGCATTCGTGGTACCACTAGTCCTGCGGTGCTGTTGTTCCTGTGGCCACTGCACGAGGCGGAGTGACGCGAACGGGTTGTCAACCGAGGAAGCTTGTCGGTCGCGCTCTGCGCGGCTATGTTGTGGCCCTTTCCGAGGACTCAGCGGTATCTTTAAGCAGCCTTGGTAGAATCCAAGATAGCCTTTAAGCAACCTTGCGGCCTAGTCCTGGCGCTCTTCACCTGTCGGAGGAGGGCGAGATCCTCCTGGCGGGTCGCGGCCTCGCACGTGGATATTTGGGTCGCGAGGAGGCGCTGAACCCCGAATCCCCCTACCCTATGCCCCGAATCCGCCCTTTCCCTAAGCCCTACTTGACAGTGACCATCGCAGGAGACACAGAAGCGCTTCGTGGACTTCCCTGCCCTGGCGAACGGCATGGAGGTGCTAGAGTTTTCGATGTAAAGAAGAAGGCTTCCAGGTGGGGTTCTATAGGAGGGCTCATATAAGGCTTCTGTACCAGGGGGTTGCCGGTGATTCTGCATATTCTCATCAAGCTCCACTGAGCCCAGGGCTTAAGTTTCTGCATCAGCAGAATTTTGAAGGCTGAGAGCGCCTTCGAGGCCGTGCCCGAAAGTTGTCCAAAAGTTACAAAAAGGGAGCGAGCGCTTTCGAGGGCTTGCCCGAAAGTTGTAAAAGGGGGTGAGAGCACTTGATGTGAACGAAAGTTGTTAAAAGGGTGAGAGCGTTTTCGCGGCGCGCTTTCGAGGCCCTGCCCGGAAGTTTTAAATGGGGTGAGGGCGCTTTCGAGGCCTTGCCCGGAAGTTGCAAAACGGGGTGAGAGGTTATTTCATTGCCCGGAAGTTGTAAACGGGGTGAGAGTGCTTTCGAGGTTTTGCCCGGAAGTTGTTCAAGGGGTGAGAGCGCTTTCGAGGCCCTGCCCAAAAGTTACAAAAAGGGAGCGAGCGCTTTCGAGGGCTTGCCCGAAAGTTGTAAAAAGGGGTGAGAGCACTTGATGTGAACGAAAGTTGTTAAAAGGGTGAGAGCGTTTTCGCGGCGCGCTTTCGAGGCCCTGCCCGGAAGTTTTAAATGGGGTGAGGGCGCTTTCGAGGCCTTGCGCGGAAGTTGCAAAACGGGGTGAGAGTTATTTCGAGGCATTGCCCGGAAGTTGTAAACGGGGTGAGAGTGC